CCCAGGGACCCATAACTCCCCCGGGACTCCCCCCATCTCCCCTTCCCATCCCTTCCTCCCGGGATTTCCCCCCCCATCGCCCGCAGCCGCGGGTCTCCCGGGGGGACCGCCGGGTGTCGCCGTCCCCCCCCGCTCCCCCCGGGCCGGGGGGCGGGAAGGGGCGGCCCCGGGGGCCATTCTCGGCGGTACCGCACCGCCTTTCCCCTCCCCTCCATCTCTCCTTCCCTCCCTCCTCCCTCCCTCCGCCCCCGGGGGCCACCCGCCCCGTCGGGCCAGTCGCCGCCGGCGCGGAGCCCGGTGCGGTACGGACCATCCCATCCTGGTTACGGGGAAAGAGGAGGAGGAGGAGGAGGAGGAGGGTTTACCCCGATGGAGACGAAGGGTTACCGGTGCCTTCGCAGCCGGTACATCGAGGACGGGCAGTCGGCGTTGCCCAGCTCGGTGCTCTTCGCCGCCGGGTTGGTGGGCAACGTCTTGGCTTTACTGCTCTTGGGCCAACACCGACGGCGATCCCGTTCCCCCGGTGGTCGCCCCCCGAGGGTTTCCGCTTTCTACGTGTTGGTGAGCGGGCTGGCCATCACCGACCTGCTGGGCAAGTGTCTCCTCAGCCCCATCGTGTTGGCAGCCTACGCCTACAACCGCAGCCTCAGCGAGCTGGGACCCGGGGGGAGAAGCGAGGACGAGCCGGGGGTCCTTTGCCAACTCTTCGCCTTCCTCATGGCCTTCTTCGGGCTGGCCCCCACCCTCCTGCTGTTGGCCATGGCCTTGGAGTGTTGGCTTTCCTTGGGGCATCCTTACTTCTACCGGCGGCATCTCACCCGCCGGTTGGGTGCCACGTTGGGGCCGGCGGCGGCGGGGCTCTGCGCCCTCTTCTGTGCCCTCCCCCTCTTGGGTTTTGGGGTCCCCATGCAGTACTGCCCCGGCACGTGGTGCTTCATCCGCATGGCCGGCACTGGGGTAAGCCAGTTGGGTTTCCCCGTCCTCTACGCCAGCTTGATGGGCCTCTTGGTGTTGGCCATCGGCGCCTGCAACGTGAGCAGCATGAGGCACCTCTACAGCATGGCCCGGAGACAACCCCACCGCGGCCCCCCCGCCACCGCCACCACCACCCCCCACATGGAAGAGCTCGACCACCTCATCCTGCTGGGGCTCATGACCGTCCTCTTCACCATCTGCTC